ACTTCTTCTGCTTGCCAGCAAGTTGGAACTCGAGCGACACAACCTGGCGGCGTGTGTCCTCTAGCTCCGCCTTAACCGTCTGCAGCTCAGTGTGGGCACTCTCCCAACTTGCACTCTTCTTCTTTAACTTTGCAAGCTGGGCCTTGGCCTCATCTGCCTTGAGTTTGGCAGCCCCCGCCTTCCTCAGCAGGGCCCCTGCTAAGGTGGTTACCTCCATTTGAGCGGAGTATAACCCCCTTAGCAGTTCAACCTCGTTGAATCTAGAGGCCGAGCGCAGGGCTGCCTCTTCTACAATCCCTACAAGGCGGTCTGCCCCTGCCCTGGCTGGGCCTTCTTCTCCCTCCAGCCGCCCCGCCACCGCACGAGCATAGTAGATCGCAGTGGTCGCACCGACTCCTCCTTCTTGAGGTACAAGACCCCCCTGGGGCTGTCCCTCCCTCCTTGGCCCAGGGCCAACAGCCTCATCCTCCACTTGCCTTTCGGGGACGGCCTTTGGGACCCCTACGACGATCGCCGCCACCACTGGCACCACCTCCATGACCTCTGAGGCAACATCCACCACTTCTGGGCCACCTACCCTTCCTGGAGCCCCTTCTACTTCACCCCCTTCAGACCCCACGGCCGCACTGGTTTCTTTCACACTCATCTCCCTCCTCTTCTTCTGGGCAGGCACTTCCTCATTCCGACTCACTCTCTTCTTCTTCTTTCCCACGCCTAATGCCTCCATCTCCTTCAAAGACCTCTCCTTCAAAGGGTCTGTTGGGGGCAGCCGCGACACAAAATCGCCCAAGTTTTTCTTTCCTAAGGGTTTGGGGCGAGGTCGAATCCGCTCCCTCGCAACCGGTTTTGGTGGCCGGTCGGCCTGGGACTCTTTGAATTGTTGGGCTTTGGCAAGAATGGCCTGATCCTCCGCCTCCTGAACCCTTCTCCTCGCCTCCAACTCCGCTCGGTCGAGGTCCCCACTACTTGGCTTTGGCCCCAACCCCGCCTCAAACAATGCCGACGGCTGAACGAGCTCGTCCCATTTGGCCTTTTCTCTCTCCCTCCACTCCTTCACCCTCCCATCCGCAGCTGCCCCCAGTTTCAGCTCCACAGACCTGATGGGCACTTTCCACACGGTGCGCGCTCCAAGCCCCCCATTGGCAGACACGTAGAACCATCGCGGCCGCCACCCCTTGATTGACGACGGCAGACCCGCCACCAACCCCTTCCCCACTGCAGCCTGCAGAGTGACCCACGTCTCCTGCTGCCCCGACGCCTTATAACACGCAAAGAATTCGTCTACCGTCATGGCCTCCCCTCCATTTGCCTTCGGCCACGCACTGGCACAGGCCAGTAGGATCTTCCATGCGTTAGGCATTAGTTTCCCCGGTGCTACCTCCAGACGGTTAAGCACATCCACCACCACTTACGGCAGTGGCAACCTCAGTCCACCCTTCAGAGCTTCCTCATAAAGGGAAAACTCCCCTGGCCTGGCGTCAGACGGCCTTTCCGTTGATGTCGGTAGCAACAACTCCACTTCCCCAGGGATCTGGTATTTTTCGCGGATAGCCTCCAACTCCGCCTCAGTAATCGTGAATTTGTCAGCCTTCATGTGCCAATGATCTGGTTCCGCCTAGCTGATTGGCTTTGGAGCTGCTATCATGGTGGAACCGTGGGATCGTACCACTGGCTCCCCCACCCTCTCTGTCCTATACTGCGCCGCTAGCTCCACAGCATCATCATCTTCAAGCGGGTCCACCCTGACAATCGCACTCCCTTCTTCGGCCATTTCTGTGGTATGTTTGCGAATCACTTCGGCGGCAGGAACAACGAAATTGAAAAAGTGTTGCAGAGGTGTATTGTGAGCAACAAAGGAATTCACACTTGGAATATTTTGATTTTTCGTGCACAAGTAGGTGAATCGAATAATGCCAAAAGCCCACGGTTTGCCCGTATTCCAAGGGTCCCAATTAATTTTCGCCAGTTTGAAAATTTTTCAAAATCATCCGTCAAAACCGTCTCTTCAACAACCACAATGATCTAACGTTTCGTTTCTGATCCAACGCCTAATCTTGCCCCCTACGGGATATGGCCACGTGTACGGCCACGATGCACTGTCCATTCCCCTTACTCTGTCTTTTTTACTTCCAATCATCACTTGCCACGCCGCCCCTTGAGCCCCGCGCCAATCCGCTCGGCTTTCGCGCGATCTGCCCTCAACGGTCGGCCTGTCCTCACGGTCGGCCCCTAGGGTCGGCCTATCCTCAACGGTCGGCCTGTCCTCACGGTCGGCCCCTTGGGTCGGTCTATCCTCAACGGTCGGCCTGTCCTCACGGTCGGCCCCTTGGATCGGCCTGCCCTCAACGGTCGGCCTTCTCGCGCGATCATCCTATCCTCACGGTCGGCCCCTTGGGTCGGCCTGCCCTCAACAGTCGGCCTTCTCGCGCAATCGCCCCTCTTCACGATCGGCCCTTTAGCTCGGCCGGTCAGCCATCCGCTCGGCCTTCGCGCGATCAACCCTCCCCACGGTCGGACAATCCTACGCTCGCCTCACCAACTCGGCCGCCCATCCCGGTCGGACTCATCTTCCTCATACATATTCCCTTCGCTGGTCTGAAGCTGCACTCGGGAATGGGGAACTACTGACATGGACAGACCCACAAAGGCCATGAACCACTATAAATAACCCGAGCCCATCATTCGGGGCCCAATGCATATCCCTACTGATGGAGTCCGGAACAGCTGGAATCCAATATGGCACCAAGAACCAACAGCATTCAGGCACGCGGCGGGTGGAGGACGAGTCACATCAGCAGACAAAGATCTGCAAAGTTATTGCCACTGCACATCACCATTAATGCAGTTCGTCACAGCATTTATTACGACAACACCTCTCCGTCGGAACAGGACCCCCTTACCCTGAGTAAGGTAAGCTACAGCATAGGCTTTCGGCAAGGAGAGCAGGTCGGAAGGGACAGCGAAATGATGACAAAAGGATATAAGCAAATGTTGTAGACAAGAAAAAGGTTAAGTTTTCTGTCTCTAATCTTCTCCCATATACTCGACTTCTCTTCCTAACTTGCTTGTCGGAGAGTTCACTGGGGGACTATCCCGTTCCCCATTGAACTTGCCTGCAGGTTATCTGGTGGACTTGATCATTTGGACATGGGCTGGAGGAGCTTGGACCTGTCAGATCCATTCACTGGGACGAACAGTATTAACATATATAAATAAATATAAATATATCAAGGGCGTTTCAAACCCTAAATTATTTCTTTTGTGAAAAAACTAGGGAAAGTGAAACTGTGCATCTTTTTATCACAGTGCCTCATACAACGAACGATCAAGTGGGTGTTTATTCATAAATAGGCAGATAATAAAAAGGCATTAAAAAAATCTAACTTTTCCGGTATTTTCCCTGGCAGATTCACGGTAGCCAAACGGAGGGTAAACGGAATGAACCGGTTAAAGGCGGCAACTTTAACCGCACGGGATGTTAGGGATAGGGTTTTCACCCCACGCTGGAACTCATGGTGGTTTATCCTACTACATTAAGCGCGCACTTTCGTCTCATTATACATTTTGCAATTATTATTATCACCTTTATTAGTATTTTTTGAGAAACATATATTTAAAAAATGGATAAATTATAAGATTTGTTTAAAATATATTTTTTTTTATGGTTTAAAAAATTATAAATATCTCTATGTTAGAATTTTTTATTTAATAGTATTAATTAAAAAAATAAAATTCATTATTACTCTCTTATATAATAATAAAATTATTTAAATTATTAATTAAAACATAAGTCTAATATTATTAAAAATAATTAATTGACTTGAAAATTTATTAATAAAATAGACGATTTATTATGAAATTAGAAACATCAAGGGGTGAAATGTAATTTCCAGAATACAAGAAACAATTTGTATTTAATCAAATCTCAATAAGTATATTTATAATTTATTCTTAAAAAATTTGAAAATTCAAGCAATATTACAAAATAAAATTTTAATTTTATTAATTTAAATTTAAATTTTTTTTATTTTATTTAAGATTTAAACTGCTTGTTTATCTTTGTTAAACAAATTTTTTTATTTTAATCATTAAACTTGATAAAGCAGATATTTTAGACATTTGAAATCAAATTTAATGATTAAAATATTATGTTTTCATTAATTTTACTTCATGATGAAAATAGACAATAATTTATATTAAATTTAAATTGATAAAATTTAAAATTTATTTTTTCAGAAGTCTCAAATCTTACATTTTTATTTTATTTTATAATTTACTCTTAATTCTTTTAACAGTAACATATATTCACTCACTCATCCACCAATCTTTTGAGATGAGCATTGGCCTTTGGAAGGACTTTTATTTATTTTTAAGTACTACTCTGGCTAAAAAATATTTAGCCTACGTTTGGGAAGTGGATTGACTTTTTGACTTTTTAACTTTTTTGGCTATTTTAGCCTGGGCTAAAAAACTTGGTTTAAGAAGGACTTTTTGGCTTTTTGACTTTTTTGACTTTTTTTGTGAGAGAAGAGTTTAATGATTATGGGTTGGATGTGATGTTTTATTTTTTGTGGCTAAAATAGCCTATTTTATTTTTTGTGGCTAAAATAGCCAAAAAAGCCCCAAAATTTTCTTCCCAAACGTAGGCTTAGTTAAAAAAATGGAAAATTTCTATTCATAGTCTATTTTTTTTCAAATCAAGTTAAAGTGTAATTTTGAACACATAAAAATTAAAAAATAAATAAAAATTTTGAAGTACATTTTAAAAGAACTGAAATGGGAATAATAATTCCCTAATTTATAAAGAACTGAAATGCGAGTTGATGGGTCATGGCAATTTTACATTATTGTTGTAGAACAATGTTCTCACAAAAAAAAAAAAAAATGCAGATCATAATTGATGTTGCGAGATTATCATACAAAAAAAGTGCAACATCTCTCTTAGAACTATGGTCCATACCATTCAACAATCGACATATTTTGTGTTGTTTCTTAAAATATTAATATAAAAATAAATAAACCGACTACATAAACAAATAACTATAACTACCAAGTTGAAGTGCATCATTAAATTGTCCCAACACTACCAAATAGCATACTTCACAACTCTATTAATAGCAGACAATGTCAGAGGTAGGAATATGCAAGGGAAGCTTTGATACAATCCTGCATATGATGGGGAGATAACTATTTACATAAAGATTGTAGTCTATTTTGTGACAGTAAATCAAACATTAGAACCTTGAGAAAACCCAAAAGAAAATCTCTTGTCATCAACAGCACACTTCTCTCCAACAAAGGTCAGCACTCAAATAAACGAACAGTGTATTTTGTTGCCCTTCAACACAATGCAGAAATAATTTCATCAACGGTTTATGAGACGAGACATTTTCTGATAGCAAAGATCGAAGTGGTTGTTTCTACTCTGGTTGAGGCAGAACCTTTGAAGACTATCCACCAACACCCTCCTAATCCTGATTATAGGCAGTTCAATCTATATTTGAGATCAAGTACTGACGTCAAAAAAACAACTCTTTTGTCTTATGGAAGCCTCCATCTGCTGTACTCTGCAAGGTTTACAATTTCAACCAAATGCTTAACATCTTCTCTGAAGTCAAAGAAGACCACAAACTGCTTCTCATCTTCAAAAGATCCAATCTTTCTAAAATACTGTACCAACACGAGTTAAATTTTTCTAAATGATGTGATAACAAACAAATAGGGACATACTCTGGCAGACGACTCTCGTATCTTGTAAATCACCCTTTCTGTTCTAGAATTGAGAAAAGAAATCACAAGTACACCGGTCAAATGGCTTTGATCCCCTCAAACCATTTCTTGTGCTAAAACAGGGCTAAAGTTTTTAAAAAATGAATGTCTCTACATTTTGCAATACTTTTAGAAGGGAAAAGAAAACTCCAGGCTAGGATAGCTGGAATTCAAAAAAAAAATCTTGTTTGGAACACACCGATTTTCTCATAATTGGAAAAAGAGCTGATTGCTGAGTATAAAAAAGTCATTGCCATTCACCACAATGAGTAAGAGTTTATTGCTATTCAGAAAATTGACTTGACATTCTTAACCCCACCCAAACACAAAACAACAATAATAATAATAACAACAATAACAATAATAAAGGCAGGAAAAGTGGCTTACAACTTCAAAGAAGGAGATTAAGTTGACAAGTCTTTGATCCCCTTGGAAACGCTGCTAATTCCCCACAACAGCAGTCATCTGAATACTGACAGTCAATTGTCATCTTCCTCAAAACTTTAGCATTTCTCAGCAAATACTCTATCACATCAATCAAGCTCATAATCTTTCCCTCTAAATGCTTTGACATTAATCTTCTTGAGATGTAATAACAAACAACTGGGTACTTCTTGTGGTGGATTCCAACATGCAGCTGAAGTACTGAATATACTTCCCTAATCACAAGAAGAAATTAAAAGCTAGAAACTTTGAAACATTGCTAACTAAATCATATAACAAATATCACATACTGTTAGGATAAGAACTTCAAGATTAGGCGAGCACCGAAGCAAGTCTGCCAACAATTTCAAATTCCAGCTAGTGTCAAAATCAGCACCAAAGTTCAATTGGGTCAAATTATGGAAGGTAGGCAACATATAATCATTTACATCAGTCTGAAACTGCACAGGAGACAAATAGACATATTACAATCCTTTTGTTAGGATATTATGATATAATAGATTAGTTATCTCACAACATATTCTTATGGAGGTGCATTAAGGTCTCTGTCCCAGCACAGCATCTCTCTATCCAAGGACATATCTATTCACTAACAAAACCTACAATCTTACTCATTCTTCACAAATATTTACTCTCCTGGTGTCAAATATTTTACGCTATTGATCAAACCCACTAATTAAAAAAAAATTGAAAAAACCACTTACATCATGTGAAACCTTAAAATTCTACTATTAACAAAATACATGAGAACTTAAAAGTTGTAAACTAAAGATCAAAACTTAAATGGTGTGTTTAGATATTTCAGGAAACATATTATAAAATAATAAAGATGAGAAAAATTTGAAGGTGAATTTTCCAAGTAATTATACCTAGGGGTGGGCACAGGTCGGTTGCGGCCACGAAACCCCCCTTTTTTTTTCATTTCCTTCCCTTTGCCATATATATCAGTATGAAATAGGAAAGAAAATTTTTATATGATATGCAGTAAACCAATACGTTCTCTTTGTAGCATAGTTTTCAACTCTTTAATTTCAAAAGCATAAACTAAAACAACATAATCAAGTAAAGTATCCTATGTTTTTTTTATTGATAAATAACTGTAACTATATTAGAAGGCAACTAAAGAGCAGCAACCTAGCACATGTTAAGTATACACAGTAAATAAAAAATAAAACCCATATATCCACAAGGATGTGCACTCCCAAAAAGTCAACAAAAGAATAGTAGGAAATGAAAAATCCTCCTTTTTAACCACAAAAATAGAGATGCAGACACTACTTCTTTCAAAGCACAGAAGTAGTTCTCCCTCCCTCCAAAAGACCTGCAATTTCTCTATCAAAATACACCACATAGCAAACAGAGAAGCTGCCTCCCAAGGTTTCCTACTACTACGCTTCGAACAACCCCTCAGCCAACCAGAAAAGAGGTCCTTCACCAAACCCAACATCACCCAAACAATATCAAACACCAAGAACAGCAAATTGCAAAATTTTCTGGCCACTAGGCAATGCAACAACAGATGATTCACTGATCATTTTATTTGTTTGGAGGTGAATGGGCCATTTATTTGTTTCTCTTGCCATAAAAAGGAGCATATCTAATAACAGGGATTGGACTTCTGAGGGGAAGTCGCTCTTTCTTGATCGATGGTCATCGGAGGAAGGGTGCTAACATGACACATTCTACTGGTTGTTTGGGTTTGTTTTCTCAGCTTGCCAGTCCATTACATGCCTTTGTTTCTATGACTTTAATTTATGATGGTTGTTTGGGTTTCACGGTTGTCTATGTACCATAAACATTCTCTGTTACACAGGCTTAAAACCCATTGGACAATTGATAAGGCCTTAAACACAGCACAAGAAAAATAATTAGGGACAAAAGAAGCATCAAAAGAGTACTTCAATTATTGCAAGTATACTTTAAAAACACGACAAACATCACAACTAATGAGTAGGGAAACTTACAGCCAAATGTGCTTCAAGAACCTTAACATTTGTAATCCCACTAAGAAGCTTATACATACGAAGACCATCAATGAAACTTCCGCGTCTTAAGCAAACATGTCTGACAAAAAATGATGCTTTGGACAAAGACGGTAAATTTCTTAACAAAATATCCACACAATCTGCAAGATAAAGGTACTCGAGTTGGGGGGCATCTACCACAAGTTTGCAACCCTGATCATCAGGTTCATCTGAGTCATCCAGCTGATCTATAAAATCATCTCTGTAACAAAAAACAGTCAAACGTTTCAACGTAGGCACAGAAACATTCAGAACCATTTGTGAATCCACCGTCCACCTGTGTATATACATTTCTTCAAGAATTGGGCAACCAATTAAGAACTCCTGCAATGAGTCTTCATCTCCATATTCAACATAATCTAGCCTAAGACTCTTAAGACTAGGAAGCCAAACTGAACAAGGAATATCAAGCAAAACCCCAGAAAGACTCAGAACCACTAGTGTTTTGCTAGTGAAAAGCCTAACTGGCAACCTAACATTAATCTCGAACCCATTAATAAGATTTAGGTCTTCAACATTACGCTTAACTGCAGCAGAGATCCATGTATCAACAAGGTCAAGAAGTTCAAGTGATCCTCCAATCTGGAGATGAAATTTCTGGAAGCAGGGTGCATCACTGAGAAGCAATACTCTATTCACGAAATACTGAAAGCTCAAATCAACTTCTTTTCGTTTATCTTCACTCAATCGAGCATATTCCTGAAAACATTTGGAGTCATCAAAATCCAAGTTTGGAACAGAAGTCCAGAGGTATTGCCATCTTGTCGACAGAGTGCTGGTTCCAACTGCATATTTTGTTGGAAGGAATGAAAGAATGTGGCACAAAAGGGCATCTGGCAAATTGCTGATCCTGTCTATGTTCTTCCCAATATTTGAATCCATTACTTCACTTCACCAATGCTTTACCTAAATTAAACTATTTTTCCAGTTAAAAATGCAAAGGCACATCAGCATAACATTTAAAAAAAAAAAAAAAAACCCTATTTTAACCATTTTATAACTTTTTCTAAAAATAATAATAGGGTAAGGACAACTATCAATGTCAAAAAATTATCTTTCATGTCAGTGCCTCATACACCGTTGCGTTTATTCACAAATAGGAAAAATAAAAAGCATTTGAATTCGAAATTTTCCTTTATTTCCCTGGCATATTCTCGGTAGCCAAACGGAGAGTATAATCTTCAGATCGAAGTAGAAATAGTACAGAAACGAACCTGGCTAATGAGGGTTCGGCCACCAATGGGTTTTTGACGACGAAAATGATTCTGCAACTTCAATGGCACCGAACGTTAGGGTTAGGGTTAGGGTTTCACCCGACGGACCTCATGGTAACTTGTCTACGGCTATCGGAGTAGATGAAACGCACGCTTCACCGCATTGTACATTTTGCTTTATAGTACTTATTTTTAGATTACACCATCCTCAACACCAAGTTTTAAAATTTTAAAAAAATTATATTATATTTTTTGAAGTTTAAATCCCATTTTTATCAGTTGCTTTGTTTGGATGAAAAAAGATTATCATATACTTAATATTAAAAATATATTTCCATTAATTATCATTTGATTCTCCATGGAGGAGTGAGAGTGTTACATAGCATTTCTTCATAATTTCATTTCAATTTTTATGATTTGGTGAATGAGAACTATGTTATATGGAACATGGTCCTGTTGTGCTCAAAGCACAGCAGTGACTATAGTACATCCATTTGAGGTGTATTATGGTCTTATTTTTGTGATTTAAATCATTCATATTGTAGGGTTTGTTGAGTATTTCATTCCTATCAAAAATCATATTAATCGGATATCAATAACTATATGATCGAATTGCATATTTTTTATGCTGTTTTTCAAAAGAAAAACTTATTATTTATTTTTTTGATTATTGATCATATAGTTGTTGATATCCGATTAATATAATTTTTGGTAGATATGAAGTACTCAACAAACCCTATAAAATAACGGTTTGAATTATAAAAATAAGATCATAATACACCTCAATCACTACTGTGCTCAAAGCACAGCAGTGACCCATTTTCCATGTTATATTGAATCCTTTAGTTTCGACAATAATGTATATAGAAGGGTTAGAATGTTAAATGGTTATAAAAATATTCTAATCTTTATATTAACATTTTAAAGATTTTTAGTCTCCGTTTGAAAAGTGGGTTGGCTTTTTAATTTTTTAGGCTATTTTAACCTGGGCTAAAAAGTTTGGTTTGAGAAGGACTTTTTGACTTTTTTAATTTTTTTTGTAAGAGAAGAGTGTAATGATTATGAATTGGATGTAATGTTTTGTTTGTTGTGACTAAAATAGCAGATTTTGTCTTTTGTGACTAAAATAGCCACAAAAGCCCTTGCCAAACTAATTTTATTTTAGATATCAAATTAAGGGTTTTGGGGAACAATGGTAAAAAGCTAGTTGTTTTGCCTTTTTAATTTTTTTAGCCAAAAAAATTAATTTTTTTATCCAAAATAACCCAACTTTTTGCCCAAAAAAAATCACCAAAAAAGTCAAAAAATCAAAAAATCAACTTTTTACAACTTCCCAAAACACCACTAAATCTTTTGTCACTAACATTTCCCAATTCTTCCTAATATTTTTGGACCATGTTTCACATTTTTGTTTCCTGTATCGTTTCTTGATTCCCTATACCATATTGACAGCCATACAATATAAACTGTCTATTTTTCTAAGAGAAACCAACAGCACACCCATTACAATAGTATAAACAATTAAGGCCTAGTTTGGGAAGACTAAAAATAAGTACACTTTTTGACTTTTTATGAAATATGGATTGGGTTTGGGTTGGGTTTGAAGTGATGTGTTAGAGAAGTGATGTGACTTAAATAAGATGATGTGACTTAAATAGGATAGTGACTTTTTGACTTTTTGTCTTTTTTTAATCATGCCAAACTTGACATAAACAAAGTTGGAAGAAACATTAGGGACAACATCGTTAAAACTCCAATTTTCACTCAAAAACTGTAAAGGTTCAACATTTTACACAAGTGAGGAAGAGTTGGATAATACTCAAAATCCTATTTGGTGTTGTGGGGATGTATTTTCTAAATACCAACACGTGGCAAGGTGACACCGACGTGTCAGCCGAGGTACCACATATCCAGGTTGTGACGCCGAGGTGATCTCGGCAAGGCCGAGATCGTCTCCGAAGATATCGAAATCCGAGATAAATAAATAAAAGTTAAGGGACAAGAGTCCTAGAGTAAAGAGAAGACTTAGCTAAGATAAGGATAAATCTCTTAGGGAGTTTATCTTTATCTCTTGAGAAATCCAAAGTAAGCACTGAATGGAAGCCCATAGAAGTCAGGCTTCTAGTGGGATCAGGATTGAGTTGGCTATAAAAGAGAGGCACCCTCGTGGGTCTAAGATATGCAGTTTTATGCTTTGAATAGTGAGTTTAGCACTTGATTATCTTTGAGAGATATACTGACTTGATCGTCGGAGTGCCCCCGGGTGGAAGAGCCACCGCCGGAGTTTTTTCTTTCTATTGCAGGTTAGCTAAAGCCATCTATTCTGCCGGTACTCTCCAGCTGATTACTAGGCGGGCAGTGTGGTCAGAAAATCACCCACACAATTTGGCGCCGTCTGTGGGAAACTTAGAAGAATAGATGGCCAGTAACGGACAGAAGGAAAACATTGGGGGCGACACTCCTGCTGGGAGTGGCAAACCAATTGACCTTAACATTGAAGGAGACAACCACAATTCAGAAACTCATGACCAGGGCCACGACGCGAAAGACGTCGGCCAGGAGGGCGACACTTCGAAGAGGGCAGAACAAGGCAAGTACTATAACGAAGATAACCTTCAGGTATGGAGGGATAGGTGCCTACGGAGGGATGAGGAAGTAAAAGAATTGGCAAACAAGTTGGCAGACCTTCAGTCAGTCGTCAACTTCATGATGCAAAATAATGTCATGCAGCCACCATACCCGTTGCAGGATACGCCGATGCCCGCAACTAATACACAGAAGAAGGGAAGAAGAGCAATCCCCGAAGTCCCTCAACACACCAGGAGCAGAAGGCACTCTCACCGACCTTCCAAAGAAGTCGGACAAGAGGAACCAAGACGAGAGGAGTCCTGAAGGACGTATCAGACGAAGGACCCAGAGCCCAAAGAATATCGGCATGTTCAAGGGCAGGCGCTCTGCTTTGACACAACACATGGAGAAAGATCAAAATGAGCCCACCACGAGGCTGAAAGTAGTGTGCCAAAAAGATTGAAGTCCAAAGATAGTCGAGCTCCAGGGAGGAGTAAAGAAGACTTGAGAGATTACCTCAAGAGGAAACAACAGAATGCTGAAGCCGATGTAACTTCCCCGGTTAAGCTAAAGACACCATTCTCAGTAGAACTAGACAAATTTCAAGAACCAAAGAGATTCAGTATGCCGAGGTTCCAAATATATGATGGAAAGTCAGATCCCAACTTCCACGTTGGGCTATACCTGAATTCAATGGCATTATATAGTGGGAACGAGCCGTTACTCTGCAAAGTATTCCCCTCATCCTTTGGGGAAATTGCATCAGATTGGTTCCATAAACTACCGAAGGGAAACGTAAAGTCTTGGGAAGGCCTGGCCGAGATGTTTGTGGCCAGATTTGTAACAAATAAACTTCAGCCCTTGAGGGTCGACGCACTGATGGCTTTAAAGATCGCCAAAGATGAAGGCCTTAGGGCCTACACAAAAAGGTACTACGACGTGTTCAATCGAATACCTGATTGCAACCAAGAGGTGGCGGTTGTGTCCTTCAAGAACGGCCTAAAAGATGACTGCCCATTACGGAAATCTTTGGCAAAGACATTGCCAAAAAGCATGGAAGAACTCATGGCGAGAATAGAGAAATACGCCAGAGCCGAGGAGGAAACGTCGGGAAATAAAGAAATAAAGCAGGAGAAAGGAAATGGCACGCCGAAGCGAAGCCGAGGTAACAACGGACCGACCAAGCAAGAAACGGACTTGAAGGCGAAACAGGCAGTAATAACTATATTCCGAGTCCCGATCTATAAAGTCTTGGATCAAATACGAAACTAACCCTATTTCAGAGGACTGACAAGAACACCAGGGGAATTTATGGGAAGAAACGTCGGTAGGCGTTGTGCTTACCACAATGAAGAAGGGCACCCAACTCAGGGTTGCAGAGCCCTAAAAGCACACTTAGAAGACTTGGTAAGGCAAAGACATCTGAGGGACCTTGTTGATGAAGCCAGGACCAGAGAAGAACAAGTAAGATTGCCTCAAGCACCAGCAACTCCGCCTTTCCCAGCACAACAACCGCCCGCTGGAGGATCACGGGTGGTTAACATAATTCACTCAAAGGTGAACAAAAACGACATACAAGGGGAGACGCAGAAGGTAAAACACCTGCAGCACGTGAACCAGGTTGGACATAAACGACCTCGGCCTGAAGAATGCCAGGGACCGACGATAGCCTTCACTGAAGCCGACTTAGAGATGGTCCAGCATCTCCATAATGATGCCTTGGTAGTATCCCTCCAAGTTGGGCAATGCCAAGTAAAACGCATCTTGATTGATCAAGGCAGCTCTTGCGACATCATGTACGTTAGATGTTACAAAGAGCTGGGCCTTCATCCTGATGACTTAGAGCAGTTGAATGGCCCAATGGTCGGCTTCAATGGAACGCCAACGTGGCCACTGGGCGTAACAAGCTTGGAGGTACAAGTTGGCACTAAGAAGATCATGACAGAATTCATGGTGATTGACACACCTTCGCCATATAACATCATCTTGGGAAGACCATGGTTACATGCAATGGGGGCAGTTCCCTCAACATTGCATCAACTAGTACGGTTCCCAACAGAGCATGGGATTGAAGAAATCAGAAGAGATCAACTGCAGGCAAAGAATTGCTCCATGGCAGCAATGAAATCCACCTGCAACATTCGAGAACCAGAAAAGGCAGAAATTGAAGATGAGGACGTGAAAGTCCTAGAAGACGTTGGCAAAGAACCAGCCGAGAAGAGCGAAGAGGCGCTAAAGAAAATCGTCGTTCAAGATGGGGATGAAGAACGCTTCTTTCTTCTCGGCACAGGCTTAGCCGAAGAGGAAGAAAAAGAGTTGGAGACTTTTTTAAGAGCCAACATTGAAGTGTTCGCCTGGACACCTTACGAAATGCCTGGCATTGACCCCGAGGTCATTTGCCACAAACTGAATATCGACAGGTCGGCAAAACTTGTGATTCAACAAGCCAAAAGACCGACGTTGATGCACGTCGAAGCAGTAGAAGAAGAAGGGGACAGACTTCTGGAGGCCAGGGCCATCCGAGAAGTTCATTACCCGACATGGCTATCCAACACAGTAGTGGTAAAGAAGAAGAACGGTAAATGGCGGGTCTGCATAGATTTTACAAACCTGAACAAAGCTTGTCCCAAAAACTGCTTTCCTCTACTCAAGATCGACCAACTGGTAGACGCCACATCTGGACATGGAAGGATGAGCTTCCTGGACGCTTACAGAGGA